TATAAACTGTGAAACTCGGTCCTCATCTTCTCTATCTTTGTCTATTGTCAGACTACTGTTCATTGTGTGTGGGAGTACGATGCATGGCATGTACACACTTGCGTGAGATGGTCCCCAGGACCCATGCATAATGTAACCAGGAGCTTTACTCTCACAGAATCAATTACATCATTAAGGTAGCGTGCGCAAACAGACACATCGCTGCACAGTCCTTCAACTCCAGTCCTGCTCAGACTGCTCTCACGCATCGCTTGAATCACCAATATATAGTATATACATTTGCCCTCTACGTGTAGGGTGGTTCCTCATGTTTCCCTGAAGAAAAAAACATAAAAAAAAGACGTCATCTATTTTGTCCCGTAGTGGTATCGGACGCCATAGCACCAGTGGAGCTTGATCTGAGTCACAGGCCTTGAGTGCTGTCTTTCGGTTCAGAATCTAGTGAATCTAAGCCTCTCATGTTGTCTTTGCCGAAGGCTTCACTAGGAGTCAAGAAATTCCCAGCCTCGAATCCTGGAATTTCTATGGACCAGGTTTGCATTGGTTTGCTGGATTTGCAACCGTAGTCTGCTAAGGAATCAAATAGATCCCAGGGACCCAGTCTGAAATCTTGAAACTACCTCCTAAATTTTGAGAGCTTTGTCCCACGGGGGGAAAAAAAAAACAGTGCTCTTTTTGCTCTGACTGAGGTGCTTGTGGATTCAGTTTCTACCACGTGAATGACGTTTTGCCCCTGACTGCGCTTGTTTGGCAGGTATGAGCCAAATACAGTGGACCTAGCAGAAGCTGAAGAGAGGGAGTAAGTTTCCTGATCTCATGTAGTGCTGCTTAGCACTCTTTGTTTTTGTTTTTTTTCTCTCAATAAAACAGGTCCTTATGGTCCTGGCTCTTTTCCATTCTGGGGAGCTTCAGTCCGGTTCCTATTCCCCCGGCAAGTCAAAAGTGAAATACATAGAGTACAGGCTCACACTTCCTTCCGTATGCCCGAAGGATCCCTGACCACCGTTGCAACTGTAGGCATTTCTTCCGTATGGCCGAAGGATCCCTGGCCAGCATATTCCTCGGGAGGGTTTGGGAGAGTACCTACCTGGGACCAGTGTTTAACTGTCAAACTGTAGGCATTTCTTCCAACCTGGACATTGAACCTGTGGGTCACCTTTGGCACCTCCAAGAGGCACCTTGGGGCAGTTAGTGACTGGAGGTTGGGGTGAGTGAATGTTTGATGAATGCACAAGGATTTTACTACATAGCCTTTCGTTCCTTCCGCACTCCCATCCTCCCTTCCTTTCTCCCTTTCTACTCCCCTCCCTCTCTCCCGCATGCCTTTCCTTTCCTCCTGCACTTTATTTCTTCCTTCTTATCTTCCTCCCTTTGCCTCTTCTTCTTGTCCTACTCCTCGTCATATACCTCGCTGCCTCTTCCATCGTTGCTTCCCTCCATTGTTTCCTCTCTTCGCCTTCCTTCCCCCCCGACCTCCCTCCCTCTTTGGCTTTTTTCTAATTCTCCTTGCTGCCGTTCCCTTTCTCCCCTTCATATTTCCTGTCTCCCTCCTCTGTCCCTTCCCTTTTTGAATCCTTTTTTCTCCCCTTCCTTCTCTTCCCTTCCCTCCCCTCCCCTTCCCCTCGTTGTTGCCCTCACTCTTTGACCTCCTTTTCTTCTTTGCCTTCCTTTTCTCCCACTTCCTCTCTTCCTTAAGGTTCTGGCTCCTTTTCCATTCGGGGGAGCATCAGTCCAGTTCCTATTCCACCGGCAAGTCAGAAAGAATTACACTGAGTACCTACACACGCTCCTCCTCCTTATGGTAGGAAGACCCGAAGGACGGCATTGATTACTTCCCGGAGGAAGGATGTACCACCCCTCACCCCTGCCTAAGTTAGCCTGATCTACTTTAATTGCCTCTAGTCCTCCATTTCATTTCCTTCCGTCCACGTCCCTCTTCCATTCTCTGGTCTGATGTTTTCCCTCCCTCCCTCCCTCCCTCCCTCCCTCCCTCCCTCCCTCGCATTCTGTGATTGTCAATCCGCCTCCAGGTCAGCTATGGTTCCTCCTGATGCCAAAACTGTCACAGAGCGTCAGGGCGGACCCCTTCGACTGCTGGATCGGTCAGACATGCGTCTACTGAGCTGACCTGGTTTAGTTGACGTTGATCCTGGCAACTTTGGCATGGTTTAACAGACTTTGCCCCTTGCAGCGTACTAATTTCCAAATTTTGTTGATTCTCAAAATTGCAGAAAACTCTGGGTGGGTTCTATTCAACGGAAATATAAGTGTGATTCAACAGCGCAGGTGAGATCCGTGCACCCTGCTGTGCATGGTGCGTTTTGAATGCACAACACGTGGCATGTACAGCGATGTGCCGAACAAGGAGAGAGAATTTGTAACTGGGACTTGAAACGGAAAGACAGACGGAGATGTGAAGGCATGGCATCGATCTGACCTGTTATTACAAGAACTGGACAAAACACGAGAGGATGTCATTGATCATGGAGTGGAAACTGTGGAAATGATTATGGTTGATGCAGTACCTCGAGAGTAGTTATGATCGATGCCGTTGTGTCCAGAAGGTCGCACACAGTTTGAAGGTAGCAGCCTTCTTGAGTTCTGTAACAGCCACACCCTTTGTCAAGGCCGCTTGTTCACACTTCAAACTAGGATAGTGCAATGAGGTAATAAGTTAATAACGCCTTTTGTGAAGTTGATGTGGTAAAATCAAACATCCTTCACCAAGCTTCGAAATTCTACCTTGAGCTGGCAGCACAGACTTATACTGCACCAAGAACTTTGCTGCTAGAACCAAGATCTAAATACCTGTGGCTGCCTTCTACTATACATGCATAGGTGGCACTTTTGCTTGCCTCTCTCCAGAGTCTGCACCGAGTATTGACGTTAGTATGAAGGTCACTCCTAGCGGTCTTGCATCGTAGAAGATTTGAACTCTCGACCTGTTGATCAAGAATTAACATCTGGGATTCTAGGTAACATTTAGCCACACCAGGCAGGTACATTGGAGGCTTACCAACCCACCACAACCAACTCCTTGATCCCAAAGAACAGCCATCTTCCCTGAGTTTATTCCAGACCTTGCAGTTTTGAAAAATGATAAAAAATCTCTATGTGGCAGCAGGGTGAGTAGGGTCAGGCTTAAGAGTGGTGGTACCACGTGATATGAAAACTCAATGATAAATTCAGATTTCTGCAGTCTCCCAAATTCTGTGTCTTGTTTGACATTGTTGACAATGTTCTGCGGCAGTGTGGCTAAATAATAAATATCTGGGTCAGGAATTTTGGCTGCAAGACAGTGCAAGTGTATCTAGTATTTAGTATTTAGTATTTAGTATTTACTATTTACTATTTAGGTGTTCTAGCCTGACTAAGCCAATCGAGAAGTAACTGATTGATCTGTTTCATTAATAGCGACATTGTCTGTTAAATGAATGCCAGCAGAATAATCCTCTTGGAACTCCATTCGTGGACTATGTGATAAGGATCTAGAAGCAACTTGATTACTGACTGCCATAGTCCGGCCTTTCCTTGTCTCCTATCGTTTGTGCAGGTACTGGCTTGATATTCTGGAGGGACACCTTCCCGGCTTAGTGGAAAAGGTGGGCTGCATCATCACTTTGCTTTCAGTAGGTTTAACCTGGTGTGTGGCTAGTAGAGGTCGCTGGTTAAAAAAAAAAAAAAAACCTGGCGTGTGGCAGATGGCCATGTCGGATACATAGACAAAGAGCTCTTTTTCTCTCGATATCTGCAGTAAGTCTAATGGCTGTAACAGCCAGGTTGCATTCTCCGGTAGGGTCTTGAATAAACAAAAAGCCAAAGGACGTTAGGTTAACCGCGTGTCCACTTGCCGTGTTTGTCATAGACTGGGGCTCCGATACTGAAGTACTCCCAGTGTGCTTGCTAGTTCAGCTACTCCAGTAGCCGTTCCAATGCTGAACTAGCACCTGCCTTGGGGTCCAATGTCGGTGTTTAGGACAATGTGCTGAATGGAAGCACGGCGAATGACAGAGTGAAAAAATAGGGATGTCCAGTGTCAAAAAGCTCGTAGAAAAATTTTAGGGGAAGCAGGGGCAGCGCGGTGGTAGTACATCCTTCCTGAGAAGGGCAGTAAATTCCGGAAATCAATGCTGCCAACTCAGGATCCCTTGGTCAGAACAAAGGGAGGTGTTTGGTGTGTTCATGGTGTAAAGGACACCAGCCCCGGTTTCCAGCTATTATTTACCAGTATAAAGTGCTATTTCTTAGAAAAGAAGAAGAAGAAGAAGAAGAAGAAGAAGAAGAAGAAGAGGAAGAGGACTGAATGAATAGAATATTATAATCATATGATAATGAGATGAATCGGTGCATATCTGCTATGTGACTGATTGAAACACAATTCAGCAGAGCACCAACATGTTCCTATACACATGCCATGATGCCAAAGAAGATTTGGAGAGGGATTCACACCACACAGGAAAGAAATATGCACAGTGGAGGTACAATCGACCAAGGAGAATTGGCGATTGACCATCCAAAAGTCCCTCACCAGTCTCCAGGTTCAATCAGAATCACAAAAGAAGCCAAGAATCACAACTGAGGATAAACCACCTTGGATAAATGCAGAACACGGTTTCAACAAGTCTTTGGAGTCGTCCTCTCCCCTCCAATACAACCTCCATAGGCTGATATGGCGCTCAGCCCAAATTTCACAGCACCCAGCCTCAGCACCCTGCAGACCACCAGGACCTCCACTCTAAACTGTCCCAGGAGCCGTAATGCAGCTCAGAATGCACTCTGATACGCTAGCGCTGGCCCAGAGTCCTCCCAGAACCACCAGTGCTAGCACAAGGATGGTGAAGGAACCTCCAGCTTGAAGAAGAAAAGAACAGCTGCCTTGGAGAAGGAGATATGGCAGCAGCGCCTAACCCCACAGCACAGACAGAAATGTTGCCAAGATCTGGAGGTGGAGCACCCTCTTCACTTCCCCATCCAACCCCTAGCAGCAGCTCCCAGCTATAGCACTGCTTGAGCAGCCTGGCGGCGTCGACAAGAGGAACTAAACAACTGCTCAACAAAAGACCTATAACCCTTCGGACGCACTCTATTTATAGTTCTACTCTAACCTACTGGACTAAGACTGCCTACCGTCTTCCCCCAAACACAACGCACCCTCATTATGACTGCATGCAACGGAAACGATGGCTTGTATACATTCAGAATCAGGGTGCGTTATGTTCGGGGGAAGACTGTAGAACCCAAGGCCAACTAACAGTTATCTGTCGGTGTTTTCCAGTAACAACGGTACCACCCTGAGGCAAAAGTCAAGTGACAATCCATTTAGGCCTGAAACGAGGTTTAGGCCCAGTAGTACCGGTTTTTGCAGTAGTTTAGGTAATTTGCACAGAAGTCCCTGTTGGCTTATGCCTGTTTCAGTTACCAGTTAGGACCCTGAACTCAGAAAAGTCACAAAATTGAAAATTGTCCTTGTTAAACTTGTTTGGTGTTACAGCCCGCTGAGTAACTGAAAGAACATTGTGTACTTGTGACTGTTTTTTGCTAAACATATCTACAGGCATGGTGCACAGTACAGCACATGGTATATGTATTATGTACTCATTGTGCCTAGCACTGAACAATGTACATTCATTTCTGGTTACGCTTTTCACCGAACTTATTTCCCAAGTTTAGAACTCTTTTGTGCTGTTGGAAGCATTTGTGTCCTGACACTGCCAAGTTCAGTGTAGTCTGGTTCCCGTCAGTCCGCCGCCGCCTCCTACATTTCCTCCTCTGCGCGTTTCTCTCCTCTTACTCATAAGTTGAGTTGATGGGCGCAGAATCGTTCTGTAAATCTCATAATAATTATTTTGTCCTACCGACTCCTATGGACTCCTGCCCCATTTTTCTGTTGTGAGTGCGGCAACAATGGGCAGTTTTGTCCCCTCATTGTACAGCCAAAGTGGTGTTGAAAAGTTGAAATAAATTATTGGAGGAGGATCCACCAATATTCGAATCTCTACCGTTCAATCAACCCGTTGATAGAAGCGGTGGTAAGCGAGAGAAGCGCGTCCTGATGATGTTGGTGAATGGGGGAGGTGAGGCACTGAGAGAAGAGAGTGCCAGGTCAAATCCTGGGAAAACAAGGGTTGTGTTGATCGCAGTCGCATTGCGGTTTTTAATGGTTCGGCATTGATGGCTGATTCTCTCCTTTATCAATTATGTGTGCATGTCTCATTTCTGCTAAAGATGGCCTCCAAGTTGATGCCAGAATAGCGAGCCCACGTTGGCTGAATTGCAAAAACGTGTGACTGTTAGTAAACACATGTCACTAGTCCTGATGGAACCAGATGGGTATGGTAATGTTAGGGCTACACCCCTTTTCAAACAGAAGTTGACGCCAGAAATGCCTGGGATGTACTCGAACGCGCAGAATGTTTGTAATAATGGGTATCATGATATTATCATCATATCAGAAGATTTTGAAAAATGTACAGCTCTAATGTTCCCTGGCAGTGCAGTTTTCAGTACATCCCCCATCTAACTTGACAGTTCATGTTTCTGATGAATCCCTCGTGTGGCTGCAGGCTGTTGCTTGTGAGGGAGGCACAGATGATGCGAAGAGGAGGGGTGATGCGTTTGCTCGTGCCTTCCGTGCACACCTTGCAAGGTGAGTAACACAGGGGCATTAAGGGGAGAGTTGTAGCAAGGAGGGCAAATTGATGCTCAAACTTCAAACTTCGAAGCCTGAACAGAATCAGCACACTCGTGAGGACATAATCATACAAAGCGGAGTCAGAGCGAATGGGGTGTGTATAACAGATTCATTGGTTGACCTGAGAATGAACTGTAAAGTCTGTAATCAAACGTCTCATTCGGGATGGCTGCCATTTCCATAACCCTAATTTTCTTGTCCAGCATGGGAAGATACATCTTGCACAGCTTTGGCTTGTGGTATGTGCCCCTTGGGACTTCAGAATGCTCATTCAGTTTGTTTTTCTGTTGAACTCAACTTCAATGCTCTCTGTCTCACGATCATACATTTCTCAATCTAAGGTGAGCCACAGATAACTTCAGAACATTGAAGCAGATCACATTGCTGATGTGAATTTTGTGCTGCATCAAGGGGTTCACATTCATGGCCGTTGGTACTATGGATGTTGGTTGTTGTTGTTGTTGTTGGAAGGGCAGGCCACACTGTCATGCCATCAGATTCAGTGTGGTGGTTCAACTCGTCTGATGTTCTATTGCAGTGCTCCCTGAAGAGAGTCCTAATGGGCCTTGGAGGACCGAACCCTGATGGCCCAAACCCGTGCAGTGTGATCCTAACTGCTGCAGACGCTGGAGCCGAAGTGCGTAGTAGTTGCAGACCTGCATCCTGGACCCCAGTCGTGGCTGCCATGGGATCGGGGATCCGTAACCAAGTACATACCCTACAGAAACAACGGGGTAGGAAAATAAAAACGGGGCGATGGAAAGTAAATTGTCATCCCCAGTCCCAACCACAGGTGCAAGGCCTTTTTACCCATAGTACTGGGCATGTCCCAGCTGAAGAGGGCGGCCCACTACTCTGCACACTAATTATGTAAACCCACCCTCTCTTTCCTTTCTCTTTTTGTTGAATAAACAGGTCGGTGGGAAGGGCTACGCATGCTACAAGCCGTTGCATGCCCCGAACTTTCGTGGCTTTGATAGATAAAAATGAGGTATTCTGTCAACGAAGAGGATCTCAAAGACTGCGATGAGATCCAGATTGAGAACACTTTTCCACCTTAATTTCCAGTTTGGGGTCTGTTTTCTGTAGGCCAAGTTCTGCGTAGCCGGGCTTGACATTATATTCGGAGACTGGTTGTGTCTTCTTCTGCTCTTTCTGAATTCAGTTAGTGTCATTCTTTTGGGTCGACTTCCAGCTTTGACATGCTGTGTTGTGGTTCAAAGGTTAACCATGGGTCAAACTGGGAGACCCTTACTTTTCCGAGCAGGAAAGTCTTGAGCACTTCTTCTTCAGGGTTCATGCTCAGGAATTGATGTCCACCACCCTTGTGGGTTCTATCGCCGTTCTGCTGTCGAGACATCTTGGAATCGCTGCCTACCAGGCTTCTGGGTTCTATCATCATTCTGTTGGTGTTGAAGGGGCCTTGGAGAGCAGCGCAAGTCATCCTCGATTACACCTGCAGTGGCACATAGAGTGGTGGGTGGTTGGGCAGCAAGGCATCGGAGAGAGGCAGTAGGAGTAGGAAACAGGCGGGTGTGGATGTTCATGGCTTCGAATAGCACGGAAGGAGGAGAGGGTGGAGCGGGAGGGGACTGGTGGAAAACATACGTGGGCCTGGAGAGATGAGCATAGGGGTATCCGGGCACTGCACTGACTTTCAGATTGGGATCCTTGGTGGTGTATTGAACCTTCGTTCCGCCATTGAGTTTGTCACCGGAAGGTTGGAGAAGTTACGAGGTTGTGGGAGGCGGCAAAATGGGAATTTCAGTGTGTTGGTGTTTCTTCTCAATGTGTCTCATCTTCCGATTCTTCTCATCTCTCTTCTTAATACTTGGGATGATTGAGTTTGAGTACTCAAAGGACTGCAAACTGAAGGTTCATTGCATCTTGCTCTACCTGGTTGAACTTGTCCTCGCAATGTATTGTACTTTTACACAAGGTGGTGGGGACCAGCAGTTCTGAAAATTTTCTGCCCTTTTTTATTTTCAGGTTGAGAGAAGATCCTGCTGCATATGGGAAGATGGGACTTGCTAACCTTTTGGAGATGCGAGAGGAATGTCTGAGAGAGTTCCAGTTCAGGGATGCCTATCGTGCTGTGAAACAAAGGTGCTGTCGTTGCTTTCATTCACCCAGTGAGATTTTGCTCTTTAGACTTGTTAAGTTATTAATAACACAGTAAGTAGTCAATATAACAAAATACAATATCATTATTCACAAATAATATATTTATTGGTTTGCGAAATTCGCATGGACAATAAAATAACAATAGAGTATTAATACTCTATTGTTAGTGCTAAGGGAAAGAACTTCAAAGAGAAGTTAAATCTCAACAAATGCCCTTGGATTGCCTGAGCTTGGAAGAAGTATCTTGCTTGCGAACAACCAAAGATATGAGAAAGAGAAAGTGAAAGTGGAAAGAGGTAGTACCCCCTTGAATAGTACAAATTTACTACAAAACCAATCACCCGCACTTACCGGAACAGCTTAGCGTAACGGCGACTCCAAAGGCCGAGAACTCCAATAGGGAATTACCTTGTTATGTGATAACCCGTCCACACACGGACTGAAACACAAAGCTGATTTCTGAGTTTTGCTCATGGACTGAATGCCCTATTGAGTTCCCTGCCTGCTAAGTCTATGTGTGTGTGTGCTTGCTGGACTGCATGTCTGTCTGAGTGCTGGTTGGCTTGCGTGTGTGACTGTGCCTGTCTGAGTGCTGGTTGGTATGAGTGTGTGTGTGTGTGGCCCGCCAGGGCACTTGTTCGTTCGTTGGGCCCTCAGGGCCGGTACTTACCTGTGGCCGTGGCTTTGGAAGGTTGCAGCAGGGGGAAAAGCACTCAAGTAGCGGGTAGGCCGGTACCGCACCCGGTAGGGGGGTAAATATGCAGGTGCCGGAGGCCGAGCAGAAGAAGACAAAAGTGGCATTTTTAGAGGCCGGTAGGGTAGGCTAGGTCTAGCGGGTACCAGTCTGAGTCTAGGCCCTGTAGGGGCAATATCAGAGTCTGCAATGATGTTCCCTCCAAAAGAGGAGGAGGTACCGGTTGCTTGGGAAGGCCAGCGGCCTGGAAGTCACCGCCCAAGAGGCAAGCAGGCCACTATATCATCTGGTCGGGCGGAAGACCCGGCCTCTTTTTCGGTGTGCAAGTTTGGCAAACACACTGGTGGAGCGCTGGATGGAGCAGCGCTAAGTTGGAGCAGCGCTGCTGGGGAGGAAGAAGAAGGACACGAGGGAGGAAGAAGGAGGAAGGAAGGAGGAAGGGGGAGGAGCGCCAGGGGTACTTACCTGGCTATGGTGGCAGCCATCTTCATCACCTTGGTGGGCGCTGCAGCAAGGAGTCCCCAGCCGGGAAGAGCCACACCAAGAAGCTTCAGGGCAGGGTTGGGCATGGCGGCCTGAGTCCGAGCAGCCATAGCTGCTTTGTGTTGTCCTTTGGGCATCGGAACAAGGCCTAGTAGTCCACCATAGCCTCGGCCTATGAGAGTAAAGTGTGGGAGAGGCGGCCATGGCTATGGTGGACCTTGAGTGACACCCGCTGTAGAAGAGGGACTCGGACATGATTCTGGACCAGTCATTCAACATTGTATTATTATTTCTTGTATGAATAAGAGAAGGGGGAGATAAGGAGGAGGAGATTGTTGGGCGAAGAAGAAGAGCCTTGTCATCATCTTTGCTGGTGTACATCTTCTTCTTCTTCTTTCTCATTTCTTCTTCTTCTTCTACTCCTCTCTCTCCTCTCAAGTTCATTCATTTCTTTCTGCAATTGGATGGCATTGTACTTCTCAGTGGATGTGTGTCTCGAAATTGGTCAGGGTCATAACATTGGTATCAGAGCGAGGTTCTACTTGCTGGTGAGAGTTGACTTTGCTACCCTAACCCTAACCTAAGTGGTTGAGGGCAACACTTAGGGTTAGGGTTGGATGGTTGAGGGAAGTGGGGCAGCGTGGTTAAGGGAAGCTGCCCCCAACTGGTTAGGTCATGTGGGGTCAACATAGACCCTAACCAGCTTGCTTGAGAGTGAGATTAGGGTGGCGAGACATTTCGAGGAGACTTCATGCGGCGATTTGAGAGAGGGGACAGTGAGAGGCACTCGCACCTGGAATCTGATTCAAGGGAGACACTTGGGAACTTAAGGGCTGCCCTCAAGTAGGCGAGCTTGAGGGTCAGCGGCCATTCTGCATCAACGGACTGCAAGTTGGTACTTTGTTCTTCAGCATCGGCGGGGGATCCGGCGTTGCACTTGGGTGTTGGAGTCAGACTCTCCTAGGAGATAGGACACTAGTGTAGGGGTAGCGTTAGATGGGTCAGGAGGACCATATGAGAAGGGGGGTGAGTTCTCTTCATCTCAAAGCTCAAGGCCACTCAGGTAAGTGCCGTGCACCTACGGGATGCCCATGTATGTATGTATGGTATCGATTGTCCTGCTGGGGTACTCTGGGTTTCTTTTCCTACTCCTCTGTGGTCTTGATTGTGTGGCTGAATGCATGTGATCTACCTACTCACCTGATGGATGGAAAATGAAGTATCTTGTTATACATGCCGAGTCTTTCTACAGTGCTTTATCTTTTCATCACTGAACGGTTGTAGTCTGTAGGTTCTGCCAGAAGTTGAAATTTCGTTTTTCAGTGCAGTAGAGACTGAACTAAGTTCAGGTGGGACTCCTCTTGGTTGGGACATGGTTGAGACCTACGTGGGACCCTTGGGACCAAGCGGGACCCTTGGGACCCAGCGGGGCCGGGCCCAAACAAGGAGAGCCTCTGGACCCAAATCGGTTAGGCATTGACCTCTTGTCTTCTTGGCTGGGATACGAGTTCATTCTTCTTGGATCAGGACACCCACTGCCGAGGGGATCTTGGCTTTGACGTTTCGCATGTCTTCTGATTGCGCCGTCCGTGGCTTGACTCGCACCCTGTACACCACTCAATTCTCCATTGTTGCATTTAGTCACTCGTTGTCTGATTTGCTGTACGGACACGGCGCTGGTCAGACTGGACTCGAGAGGACCTCGTATGCAGCCTGATCAGACTGGGTCGCTGGATCAGACCTCTCTTTGAGTTTTGATTGTTTCTTTTGCTGTTCTCTACTTCCAAAGGAAATGCCGCTCCGGCTAGGAGTTCTACCTTCTCTTCTCTGAGCTTTATCTGTTTTTCTGAGTTCATTTCCGATGCCCGTGGAGACACGCAATCTGAAAGAAGAAAGAGAGAGGAGGGAGACAGAACAGGGAGAGAGGGAAAGTGATAGTCTGAGGTGGGCAAGGACTGGGAAAAGGAGTGTTCGTCTAAGCGCGAGGGGGAGTGAACCTCTTGAGAGTCTGATTGATTCTTTTGCTATCTGGCGACTCTCTGATCCACCTGCCCACACTGACAGTCCAAAGATAGCCCAGCTAACTTCAACGTGTGACGAACCACTTCCCGACCCCGTGCCATCTTTCGTACCCTTTTGCTTGTATCATACCTACCGCAGGAAAACCCCGTTTTGAGTTCTTGCTTTCGGGTGCCGCATTTTCCTTTTTGAAGAGCTTTTTTTTCCCGACTACTGAGTTCTGTTTTTCTTTTTGCAAAGTCGAGAAACACATGGGAATTTACGTGCGCCCTAACGAGCGCACTAGGAATTGGGCTCGGTAGTTGGGAATTCCAGGATAAGCGGAACTTCGACGTGTCCTTTTGGGGTGAGTAGATGTTCTTGGGCGCGTCGGGGAAAACTCTCGGAATTTTGCGTGAATACGAATAGGCGTAGGATTTTCTTTTCCCGCGTCGCTTTTTCGCGCGCGGATATGGTGATTTCAATTTTGAATTAGGATAGAAGCAAGTTGTAACTGTTTCGGTGCCTTTTTCTTTTTTTGTTGACGGCGCCGTGCATGCAAAAGCTTCCTCCTCTCTGTCCCCCGCATCACTCCCTCTCGCGCCTCCCTTCTCTTCTCCCTCCTTTTTCTCTCTCCCCATAACTGTTTTTCTTGAGAAACAACCCTGAGAAACAGCCGAACCACGAGGCGGCCCTGAGAAACAAGGCGCCCAGGGACCAATGTTGTGTTGAACTGATCGGACCCGTAGCCATATGCGTGATCAAGCTGATCTGTGCTTGCTCTCTCTCTCTCTTGTGTTAAAAAGATTGATTGGGGGACGCGCGAATTGCTTTTGTTCTTAATGACGTCTCCAGATATTTTGATTGATTGACATGTGGACTGGCAAGTACCCTTCGATTGGGTGCCAGCCTCCCGTATCTCCCATCCCAACGCGACCTTTTCCTTACAGTGAGGAAAGGACACGTGTATGTGAGTGGGACGTACGAGAAGCCGTTGCACAAATCGGCGGGCAGTATTACTTCCCTCCGCCCAACCACTGTTCTGGGTTCGTAGAAGCCGGGTTTGTTATTATCGATACGCACTTCCCACCTTACTCGGTATTGTTGCCATTTAACTAGTTAATCGTCATTCCGTAGACGACAGTAGAACCCCACTGGCCATGCACTCTGTGCACCGAATGTCAGCGTTTTGATCCCTACGAAGCGAAGGGCTTCCACTACCGAATACGGAGTGAGGACGAGCATAAGGAAAGAGCCACTCGGCTGAGACCATCCACGTCGGATTCGGAACTGACCAGCGAACGAAGACGAGATCTGGTACGAAAACAAGACACGTGAAGTGTGCCAGAGCCTTTCCGTTCTAAACGACGGGCTGTAGCTCGGTGGGAAGCCCGACAATACTTTTTGGATTGAATTTGAATCTTCCTGTTTTCGCGCCGTGTCCGCGCGCGCCTTTCGCGACGCGCGAAACGATCGACTTGGTCCATCGGACCAACACGGGGGATTTCAGTTTCGTCTGTGTCCCCACACTCAATTTCCAAAAATCCTTGGCACACCCCATCTTGCTGTTTTTCTGGGCCCCTTTTCCGCACAGCTAACACTCCGAACGGAAGATAGCACAGGGCGTGAGGTTGGATCGGAGGTGACACGTGTCGGTTCTGATGATTGTAAGTCGAACTGGCGAGAGGTAGGAGAGACCCTCAACTAGCTCGTCGAGATCGCCCCGTAACCAGGTCTCAGTCTAGTGTGGCTGCACCAGCAATACCAATGTTGGACGGTACTAGGGTGATCGTTAACATCCCTGCCC